GGGAAATGGCTCGCTCTAAAATACAGTGGTTCCAGTTTCGGGTTTTATGAAGGTGAGGCTTTTGCTCAGCATTTCCCAAATGAGCTTTTGACCGAATGTAGAGTAATTAATTCCTTACTCCGTAACGGGAAACTCTTCCAGTTTGTGGGATCAGAAGCACCAATGTGACAGCTCTTCATTTAAACTTCTTATTTTAAGGGAGAGCCTCTCTTTTCTAAAAACAACAATTCACACGGGAGCTGGGATCTGTGGTGATCTTGCACTGACACCAAGGCCACGATTTCAAAGCTTGCAGGATAACGTGTCGCATCTCTCTGTACAGCGTTCGTGATTTACGATGGTTTCTCTCTGTGGAGATTGAAACACAAGACGCTAGAAAAACAAGCCCAGGGATGAAGCTGCAGTTTTCAGAGTCGCTTGCTGGCTTTCCCGCTAGGGAGTGAAGAGCAGCGGGAGTGAAGTGCATATTATTGTAAATTACTTTTGTGTGTAGAAAAATATTATGCAACCTTTGGAGCTGCACACTTGATCACTAGCAGCAGCGTAACGTTATTGGTTTTTTGTACTGCCCTTTTGCCAGATTAGAAAAATTCTGGTGGGTTGGCAGCCCTGGAGTAAAGATGACTCCCTCGAAGGAGCTCAGAAGGTGACTTTGGGCAGAGTTTCTCCCAGTTTTATCAACAGGATGAGAGTTGCTGTTGCTCCCTCGTAGCGCCCTGCTCGCCCGGCCAGACCCATCCTGGGAGGAGCGTGTTCCCTTCGGCTCGCTGCTCGCACCGGGGTGGGCAGTGGGCGTTCAGCCTGGTTGGCAGTGCAAGTCCCACCCTGCGGTGGCCCTGGCCGTGCTGGGTGAAGCGCGTGTGGAATGAACTGGAAGCAGAGGTGAAGCTTGTTCTTGCAGAGCACGTCAAGCTCTTGGGCTTGGCGCTTGGTTAAAGTGAAGAGGTTGTGGCTGTGTCTGCTGTAGTGATGTGTTTTCCTGGTCAGCGTAGAAGCAAAATCGTGTGCGTTTTGGATATGAATGATGGTGGGAATTTGAATGATAGCAAAAACATCCTCCCATTTGAACTTTTTTTTTATTATTATTTTTTGTAACTAGGAAGTACTTTAAACCAATTCTTTAAACAAAAAGTTTTGGGGACCATGCAGTGAAGATATTTTTACCTTGGTTGTAAATGCACTGTAAATCTTTATTAATTTGTCTCTGAGAATTAGAGATCATTAGTAAAAGCAATGAATGGGGTAAAATAAGAAATTATTTTTCTTTTAATGTGTTAAACTGGATGCTTTGCAATATTGAAATGCATAGTACACAACAGCAAGTCAGCTGCTTTGATATCAAAAGGAATTTGGTATTTTGTAGTAGTCTTGTGGCATGTTGAACTAGCTGTTTGTCTTTCAAAGGCATGCTGTCCCAGACAGAACGGTTCGTTTCTGCTCAAGTACACTACCTCTGCCTAAAGTTGCCACATTTGACAACGGTGTCACCTGTAGCACTTTGTTTACTTTCAAGCTTAGCTGCAGCATTAGCTCCTTTACGGTTTCTCAGTAATAGGCCTTATTCTTAATCTCTGGAAACAGTTGAGGGGTGAGAGGGACACATGATACCCAGACCCTTTTCTCACATTTAAAAAAGCAAACACAAACCCCCCGCCACCGTGATGGGAAGATCTGAGGGGTGGCTGTTTGCCTGCGTTGGGTTAGCACTGGGAGTTGGCACATGCACGTTACCAAGTACTGGTGTGTGTGGCGGGGAGAGTTTGTTGCTGTGGGGAAGGCTCCTGTCGCTGAGCCACCACTGTGTGTGTCCCAGTGCACTGGTTCCCTGAACTGGTCAGCTGTCCTGGGGATGGAAAGGATATGAGCAATTCCCATTTGATGCTTCATTTGTGCAGCTGTTGAGAAACTCTGTTTTTAATTGATTCATTTTCAGATGAGGAAGTATATTTCATGGTTACAGTGGTAACACATATAATATTCATCAGATAGACCGTTGAAATTAAATCACATTCCTTTTCAGGTTTTCTTCTCTTACACAATTCGTTGTTTTTCTAAATCTGCTTTATTACATATATCTTTCTTTCCTTAAACCTTACTCCAGATTTACTCAACTTCTCCCTCATGCTCGCTTTCTAGCAACCCTCCTGATAGGCAAAGAAGAAATGCATCTTGGAAGGTGTGATTTTTTAAAATTTTTTTTATTTGCATGTATGGGTGATTTTTTTTTTCCAATTTACATATGCATCAGACAGATGCCAAATTGTAGGGTTTTCTTGCTTTGTTTTGAGAAGGTGGGTTTGAGGCTACTGATTAACTTTAAATATGAAACTGATTTTCATATTTTCAGGAAGCATTTGAGTCTCCAGTAGAAGGCTTCTGTGCAGAGCTAGGAACTGGCTATGAATTTAATCTACTGTGGTAATTAGAGAGGAATAAAAGAGTAATGTCTTCCACCCAGAACAATTATAAATCACTTGCAGATGGATTAAACAGCAGGATGTAAAAATAACAGGTTTCTCCAAGTTATAGCAAATATCCTACGGGTTCTTAGATTAATTGTGACCTGGAATTTTTCTGTTTAGGGGGGGTTGGAATACTTCTTAAAATAAACTTTTATGCAAAGCAGGTTTGCTAAAATGTAAATATTTAAGCAGTGGAGATCTTAACATCTTAAATACTTTGATGAGACTTGGTTTTGTTCTCAGTATCTAAATGTGCATGTGTCTCTTTACTCGGACAGGATTCTCTCTTTCTGCTCCAGCATCATTAATGTTTGCACAAGATTTAGACTTGAAAATGATTCCAAACTCCTGGCTGTGATGTCCCTCCTCCCTGGGTTGATTTTGAAGGGTGCATGTTGCCTGGGTATATGTAGTTGCATCTTTGGCCTCTCTCCTTTTGTGAGAGCTCTAAGCTACTTGTCTGACTCTCGTAGAGTTTTATGTTGCAGGTTAACTGTACCTGGGTAAATACAGCTCTTTTCCCTGTGACAGTTCAATTATTTGAACTAAATTTCTATTTAGTATTACCTAAATATACTGCAGTTCCATGCTCATGGCTTGCTGTGTCAGGTGGCTCTGTAAAATGGGGAGGGAGGGAACTGGAGGCTGTGGAGGCAGAGGAAATAGTTCATTGTAGATCAGAGCGGGCTGCACACCGAGTTCCCTCTTGTATTATCCGCACACCCATGTCGCACCTAGTTCTGCAAAAAGAGTTCTTAGGTTGTTTTTTAATAGATGGTCTGTGGTTGTCATGCATGCAGAGGTTTTGATTTTAGATATATGTACATAATTTAAATCTGTCTACCCTTAATAAAAAGAACATCTAGGGGATTTTCCTAATTTAACGTATGTAAAGTCTGCGGGGGGGGGGATGGCGAAGGCTAAATTGCCCTCCTTGAGTTAATAACTGTATAAATCTGATGCCTTGAAATTTTTCCAAAGGTGTTTACAGTCTCTTCCAATTCTATGTTCAGCAG